CAGTAGAGTAGAAATTGTTACAGGATTTAAATTCGCGAATGCTTCTCTGTAGACGGGTAGGAAAAGGTAGTCAGTTATCATTACGTTATCAAGTAGCAAATAACAGAAAACTTACATCATCCGTTTTTTGGTAAACCAAGGCTTATTTTAGAGAAACAATGATTTGTTTTTTATAAAATTGATTAAAGGTAGTCAATGGCTAGGAATCTAAATCTATAGACAGTTTATCAAAATTCTCGAATAGAGTTTTTTTGCACTCAGGAGAAACCACATTACTATGGTTCCGACGAGTATTATTTAAAAAAATTATTATTTTCCTAAAATAGGCTTTCATTGACCAGAAAGTCAAACTAATCTCTACTAAACTTAGTTGAGACTGATTAAGATAGAGACCGAAACTAAGAGCCTTGGTATATCCCTACTTATTTTCTACCAATTAAATTCTATATTCAATTAACTTCTTAACTATAATAAAAGGTAATAGTTTTAATTTCTAGTATCTATAACATAGTATCCGTTGAGGATTAGAGCTGTTTATGATTTCGATCAATTCTAAAAGTCTACGTTGAAATTCTTGTTATTCATAGAAATATCAACAGTTACTCAAGACTTTAATATATAATTTATACTTAGTATTTGTTGAATATAATATAAATTTCGATTTCACACAGATAATTGACGTTCGAATATCATTTCTAATTTTCAGCTCCTAATATACACCGATTTAATGCCCTCTAACCGATTATCCAAAATAAGATCATTTCTTCTTCTTTTACTATGATTTCTAAAATAAAAATAATTTGTAATACATTCAATTTCATTTTTTTTTAATTTTCTTCCTATGTATTTTTTGAACAATCTAAAATATTGAGAATACTTTTTTTTGCAACATAACTTATTAACATTGAATGCATATGTTTTCGTTTTAAATAGCTAACAACTGGTCTTGGGGATGAAAAAGTTCGTTGGCAAGAAAATGTCTCAATGCTTGATCATTCATTAGAAAATGTTATTGGTGATGTACTTATATCATCAGGTTTTGTTGCATATCTTGGTCCATTTACTGTAAAAATAAAAATTTTCTAGTTTGATTTTAATAACTAAATTATGTTAATAATTATTTTAGACTGAATATCGTGATAATATGATCAAAGAATGGATAACTAAATTAACAGCATATCAAGTTCCACATTCTGAAAATCCTGAATTAGTTCGTGTACTTGGTGATGCTGTTAAAATTCGTAATTGGCAATTAGCTGGTTTACCTAAGGATAATTTATCGGTACAAAATGGTGTTATTGTTCAATATTCAAATCGTTGGCCTTTATTTATTGATCCACAAGGGCAAGCTAACAAATGGATTAAAAATATGGTATAACAAAAAGAAACAAAATTAATAATTTTCTATATGATAACTTTTTTTTTACGAAACACAATCTAAAAAGAGTGTTGAATTTCTAGAGGACGACTTCATTAATATGCGTTATCAAGTTCTACTACACACTATTGACATGTCAACAATACGTCGTAGAACCTGATAATACATACATCGTTAGATAGAGGAAGTGTACCTACATTTCGTGCTGTAATCAAAACCTTATAGCAGAGGCAGCCGCGAAGGGTTCGAAGCAGGAGGAAGGTAATCCAAAAATCGAAAAAAGAGTCAAGACTTTTCTGGTATCATGTGTTGATAATTCCTTTGTCTTTTCCGAGCTTAAGTTTCGACAAGCTGGATTTTTTCCCGAATTCAGAGAAACTTGTCTAATATATTTCCTGAAATCGGAGAAAACTTAAGATATTTTTTCGAAAACTGAGAAAAGTTCGTCTGAAATTTGTCAGCAATGGGAGAAGGTTGTCCTTCATTTTTCAAAAGCTGGGAGGTACTCTCCTCCAGCCCCTGCTAACGCCGCCCCTGCTTATCGTTACCTTTGACCCTTCCTCGAACTGTGATAGACATTACCATGGGAATATCACAGACGTTTTAGCAAAGTCCCTTTCCGTGACAGACATTGACAGTTCGTATATCAATAATGTCTTGTTATATTATGTGTGGAGTACATCCTTATTGCATTTCTGCAGGATCAAGTGAAAGGATGATAAAGAAATGTATCTTGAAATAGATAGGATAAAAGAAATTCCATCTGATGAACAACAGTAGGTACATCATGTTTGACATTTTAATTGTATAGGGATTGTTCTAATAGCTTTTCTTATGTTATTTTAGGAAAAAAATACTGGTCTTGATGTAATGAAATTATCTGATCGTGATTATTTACGTACACTTGAAAATTCAATTCGTTTTGGTAAACCTTGTTTATTAGAAAATGTTGGAATTGATATGGATCCTGGTTTGTATTTGTTTTTTTGTTTACAAAAACAACGAGATTTTCTAATTTTTTATTTTATTTTATTTAGCTCTTGAGCCCGTTCTTTTAAGACAAGTAAAATCTTTATAATTCTAGAATAACAAAAATTTTTTTTCTGTTTTTTTTTTATTAGACTTATCGTCAATCGGGTAGTACAGTTATTAAATTAGGTGATGCTATTATACCATATCATGATGATTTTCGTTTTTATATAACAACTAAATTACCTAATCCACATTATTCACCTGAAATATCAGTTAAAGTAACATTAGTTAATTTTACATTATCACCAAGGTAAATTTTCTTTTATTTATGAAAATAAAAAATTTATTAGTCTTTTTCGTATAGTGGTTTGGAAGATCAAATGTTAGCTCGTGTTGTTGCTGAAGAACGTCCTGATTTAGAAGAAATGAAAAATACATTAATTATTTCAAATGCAACAATGCGTAATGAATTAAAAGCATTAGAAGACACTATACTTGAAAAATTAAGTACAAGTGAAAATCCTGTTGATGATATTGAATTAATAACTGCGCTTGAAGCATCAAAAGCAAAATCAACTGAAATTAAAGTTTGTTTTTATTTTCTATCATTAGTAAAACAAAAAGAAGGAAAACTTCATTTTTTTCTATAGACAAAAATGCAAGCAGCTGAACAAACAGAAAAAGATATTGATTTGACTCGTGCTGAATATGTTCCTGTAGCTATCAATACACAAATCTTATTTTTCTGTGTATCAGACTTAGCCAATGTTGATCCTATGTATCAATATTCATTAGAATGGTTTACAAATATATTTTTAACAAGTATTCAAAGTGCACCACGTGCAGGTACAGACGAAAAACCGTATTTTTGTTTCTTTTTATTAAAATTAAAAAAATCAAATTTGTTTTTTGTTTTCAGATGTTTTGGAAAAACGTATTAAAAATATAAATGATTATTTTACATTTAGTCTTTATTGTAATGTATGTCGAAGTTTATTTGAAAAACATAAATTATTATTTGCATTTTTACTAACTGTACGAATATTAATGAATCAAAAGAAAATACAAATGGTAAGTTAAGATTTATTTTTTTTAGACATATTATAGAATATATATACATAAGGACATAAAATTGTCTTGTAACCATGTTCGATAGATAAATATTTATAGAAAAGATTACCTACTTTGTTTTTTTGTCGTACATATATTAACACTATGATATCCATAAAAACAATAAGATACAAGTCCTTTCAATATAATTTCTATATGACATAAAAGTATAAAGTACCAGAGATCAAGTACAATATTTAAGCCTTGTTTTCCTGTACTTAATTATGGTTTATTAAAATTAGATTTGTACTTCAAGGAAAAATCTATCTGAAGAAATTTTTCATATATATGAATTAAAAGTTTTTACTACATTTTTATGTTTTAGAAGCTTTTTTACAGTTTTAAATGACGAGAAATTTGACCGAACCATCATGCTAAGAAATAATTTTTCATATTACCATGACAGTTCAGATTACCTTCTTACTACAATCCATGCGACGAGTAAAGTCGAATTAGTCATCTTGGATTTTCTAATGCTTTAAGCACTCAGACTACTTATATAAGGGTGGTCCATAAATAACTGTGCGATAAGAAATTCGAATATCTTCATTACGGCTCGAGCAAGCGTGCTGATTTTTTTACTGGTGATAGAGGCATGTATAAGCTTTATATCCATAAAGACATGTCTAGAAAGACACTTTGTTAAGTATCACTACTGACCTCAACAAGAAAAATTTCACTTTTTCACAGATAGAAAAAAAAAAGCAGTACACTTAACAGAGGATCTATCTAGGCATGTCTTTATTGATATGAAGCTTGAACATGCCTCTATTATTGGTAAAAATATCACCTCGTTTGCTTGAGCCGTAATGGAGGTATTCAATTTTTATTTTGGCAAACTGACTTTTCGGCCACCCTGTTTATAGCCCAAAAGTCACGCATCCGAAAAAAAATTGAATATCTCCCTTACGACTCGAGCAAAGGAGCTGATTTTTTTACTAGTGATAGAGGCATGTATAAGCTTTATATCCATAAAGACATGTCTAGGAAGACGCTTTGTTAAGTATCACTACTGACCTCAACAAGAAAAATTTCACTTTTTCACAGATAGAAAAAACTCTAGTATACTTAATAAAGGATCTCTCTAGGCATGTCTTTATGAATATAAAGCTTGAACGTGGCTCTATCATTGATAAAAGAATCAGCTCGTTAGCTCGAGCCGTAGCAGAGATATTCAATTGTTTTTGGTAAAGTGACGTTTTCTTCTAACTGTGAAAAAGTAAATTTTTCTTGTTGAGGTCAATAGTGATACTTAACAAAGGGTCTCCCTGGACATGTCTTTATGGATATAAACTTGGTACATGCCTCTATCACTGGTAAAAAATCAGCACGTTTGCTCGAGCCGTAATGGAGATATTCGACTTTCTTATCGCACAGTTATTTATGGACCACCCTGTATAAACTAATTCCTAGATACTATTCATCACTTTTTACTCATATATGCTTTTAATAATAGTCTGTAATAGCATTCTAATTTAAGAATATGTCATGTCTCAATGTCTATAGAAAAATTGAACATAATTCAACGTTCGAATGATAATTAGTTAGACATGACTAAAAGCTATTTGCAGGGTTTTAATAAGTTTTAAGTACATGATCAATTATAATTCTTAATTGTATGGAAAAAATTAGCTTTCTTATTTCAATTTTTTTTATTGAAATTTCAAAATTTTATATTATCAATTCATTTTATTATCTTTTCTATACGACGAAAAAACACCAATTAAATAGTTTTTCTATAAGTATTTATCTATCGAAACATATATTTAAAAAAAAATACGTATACCCTAACAATCATAATTAATTGTCGAATCGTCATTTGTGATCTGTTTTCTTATTAAAAATCTTCTTTCTTCGAAAATTGTCTTCGTTGTCTATTAATTTCTTGTGGACTTTCTTGATAATGTAATATATATTTATTTGTTGTACAAATTTTTGAATTTATATTTATTGATGAATGTGCTGGTACTGTACGATGTTCAGATGATTTTAAACAACAAAATAAATTTTCATATCGAAATGTTTCTTTTAATGTATCCAAAAATTTTTGATTAAATGCACAATAGAAAAAAAAATTTATCGAATAATTTAATAATAACATAATATTTGTTATTAACTTTTGTATACGAAAACCACCTTGAATATAGTTTGGATATTTGTTGCTGGTTATAAATCGTACAAGACCAGGATACGATACTATTGTAAATGTATTACATATAAGAAAAACAATAACAACAGCAACAAGTGTTTTTGTTAAACGTTGTTCATCACGTAAACGTTTTTGTTTTTTTGTATTTACTGTTGGCGCTGAGGAACGTACATTGTTATATTGTCGTGCTACTAATTCTGCTAATGTAAAACGATTTGCTGCTTGTACACGTCTTATTAAACTTAAATTTAAACAAAGTAATATAGCAAACGGTAATATTTGATTGATACCTAACATTGTATAATAATAGTAGTTTTTAAATGGTAAAAAACCTTGTTTTGTACTACCAACAACACAAAAACATTGACCAATATGTGAACTATTTGTTGATGAATATTCAATTATAAATGGATGTGTTAAACATAATGAAATATTAAATATATGTTCATATCCAATACGTTTGTCAATTGTTTCAGTAAAAAATCTTGGAGAACTTAAAATAGCACAAAATATTAATATAATAGTTATAACTAGACGAGCATAAGTTGGTTTACAAAAAGTTCGTGTATGTAATGGATATGTTGTAAATAAATAACGTTCCATTGTTAATGCAACTGTTATCATTGTACTTACTTGTCCGAAATAATTTGCTAATGGCATATATATATAAGTTTGAAGACGTGTTAAAGTAAAGAAAATATTTTCATGTCGAATATAATCACCACGTACAACAGAAACTGAAGACATTGAAATAAGTGTAAGCATATCAGCTAGAGCCAAGCCGGTTAAATAAGTATATGGTGATTCTTTAAGACGACGTTGAAGAAGAACACATAAATTAAGTATATTACATACAACACCAAATATACATATTGTTGACATAATATAACGATAACCGGCTACTTCAATATCATGTAATGTATCGGAACGAGTCGATCCATTTACATTTGATAAACATGGATTAGTACTCATGATAATATTTAGTCTCAATAATTTTTATATATCTGAAAAAAAGAAAAAGAAAATATCTAATAAGACAAAAGAAAGACAACTTTAAATAACATTATTTTATTTTCTCTTATATTTAGCGTGAATATCGATTCTTTTTGGCTGGTGGTTCAATACGTCCAGTTGATATACCAAATCCAGCACCAGAATGGATTACTGAACGTATATGGTTAGAAATTCTTACACTCGAATCATTAGAATCTTTCAAAGGATTTGCTCAAAATTTTCATACTTATTTACAAGATTATAAAAAAATCTTCGACAGTACTGAACCAGAAAGGTTAGTTCATTCTTTTTTTATAGTAAATCTTAATCGAGAGAAAAACATAACTTCATTCTTATTAATAATTTCTTCAAAGACAAAAATAATCTCAAAAGAATACATTAAAAAAATACAAAAGGATAAAATTAAGCATACTATCATATATAACTTATTCTCTTATGACTACAATTAAACATATTAATTTACTAGTAACTAGAATCAAATCAACTACTTAACATTCATATCAAAATTATGAGGGAAATAGAAGAAGTATTGTTGTTGTTTTTGTCATTGATTTGAATAATGCAAATTCATCTAGTTTTTAGTAAATTGAAAATCGCAAATCATGCAGTATTTTATTCAATAGGAATTCTAACACATTATTGAATGTGCAATAAGAAATGCATTAAGAATGGCAACACCTACCTCATGTTGTCTATTTAGAGAGAAAATTCTGTTAGTTTCCAATATGTGAGTGATGTGTTCAACACATCAATAAGAATCAGCCCATAAGGCATATTTGTTTTCTTTAACATCATTGCTTGAAAGCATTATAATTCTATTTCTCAGGAAAACGGTAAATTCGTTATATAAATGTAGGTGTTACAAATCAATTGATTTGTATAGTTGATGTATGTTTGTAGCAGTAGAGTGAAAGAATAATGTGTTAGACGACAAATAGAATAGACAATATTAAATAGAGTTACTGAATTTTTTCCTTCTTTTCTCTTCTTCTAGTTTGGCTTTTTTTCTTCTTCTTTCCATTTGAGTAAATAGACAACACATACAATGAATTGTTTCACATAAATGAATAAAAAAAATTAGACGAATGATGATGTTATTGATAATAATAATGATGGTTTATGTCATTTTTTATTCATCATCATTATTATATTATATGTGCACTTGTTTTCATTGTCAATAAAAGAAATGAAATTTTATCAGAGTGAATATGTCAATGATGACCATACTTAAGAGAGAATATATGCGTGTATGATATTTTTTCATTGAATATAAAAAGAAAATGAAAAGAAAAGAAACAAATGGAATGATGACACACTGACTTTATCCGATCATAGATTGACAGAATTTTTTAATTTTTCTTTAGCAAAATTAAAGAAGAAAAAATCCATTACCTTTTAAGACGAACATATATGTCAAGAAAAACATTGATCTTGTTGATGGTCTGTTATCAAATAAAAGTTTTTCTGTTTCTATTCTTGACATATCTATAAGTACGAGAAATATAATATCGGATGGCAATATGCATATACACTAGTGATAGAAAAAAGGAACTATTTGTGGCATTCTGAGACACTTATTATGTGTTTGATGTTTCTACTTGATGATGATGATGATGATGAGAAATTTGTTATATAAACTAACAAAAAAAAAGCACGAGCAGATAGACACGAACTCATATTCTTCCATGAGGAGCGACTACTTGTCTTTAGTCCTCTACTTAGAAACATTTCTAATAGGCCCGTGATGTAGCATGAACTCATATTACTTTTCTTTTGTTTTTGTTGATTTTTCATGACCTATCCATCT